TCAAGTAAATGCCACTCTATTCAGAAGACTCAAACTCAAGAAAAGCTACACTACATTTCAAAAGTTTCTCAATATTCTAAAGTAATGATAAATACCCACACTCACAAAAGAGAAATTTTGAGATGTCCAATTCAACTCAACACTATGAGGGCAGCACATGGCACTTCTGAACACCTCTGCCTTTATGTTGAGGCCAGGCTCGAGCTCTAGACAGCACACCTGTTTCTGTTACTGCCCAATCTGGTTCACGACCCCCACTTCTGGTCCGGACACTGACACACATTTTCTGCCTGCCTTTGTTCACATCATTCCCACTCCTCCTGCCTAGAGTAACTTCTCTTCTGTCTCCATTTGTCAAAAAGTTCAGCTGGTCCTTTAGGGCTCAAATAGCAGGAGCAATAGCTAAGGGCAACAGTGATAGACAGAGTAGCATCAGGGACAGAGGTTCAGGGTCAGGAAAACTGGAGCTTAAAGCAAGGATCTGTCCTTTAGTATGCATGAGAGCTGGACAGACTGCAACCTGCTTCTCATGCCTAAAGGAGTGGGTGCTAATTTTGCAGGGCTGTGGCAACTGCTACCAATGAGCTTCTCAAGTGCGGCAGGCAAAAGGTGCTAAAGAGTGGGTGGTGGGAGTGGCAAGTGGTCATACTGAACTTCATATTTATGAGCCCTTTCTTGACCCCCATTTGCTACAGTTAACTACACTCAGCAGAAACCAGAGTCTCCCTTCCATCCTTGCCTGGTCTGACACTGCAACTTCCTGCCCACGGCAATGCTCACCCGTGACTTCCTCTCCTCTTACCCACTGCTGACAGGCATCCAGCAGCGACTCTGTGAGGGCGCCTAGCGGGGTGACTTGTTATTTGTGTTCAACTTTTTTTATTTCAGGTGTACTTTTTCTACTTATTCATCAAGTCACTAAGAGGTCTGGTTAATGTCTGCATCTATGATTGTATTATTTAGCTTCTGCCAATTTATGCTCCATATACTTCAAAATTATGTTATCACTTTTAGAGTCATTATGTATTTTTGTCTAATGTTATTCTGTTATAAAATGTCTCATATTTTTCCTAGTAAATTTTATTTCCTTGAAGTTTTTGGTCTAATATAGCCATGGTAGCTTGCTTTCTTTTCTTTTTTTTTTGTACCAGGGATTGAACCCCGGGGGTGCTCAACCACTGAGCTACATCTCTAGCCCTATTTTTTTATTTTTATTTAGAGAGAATTTTTTTTTTTAGAGAGAGAAATAAATAAATGAGAATATTTATTTCTTAGTTTTTGGCAGACACAACATCTTTCTTTGTATGTGGTGCTGAGGATCCAACCCGGGCCGCACGCATGCCAGGCGAGAGCACTACCACTTGAGCCACATCCCCAGCCCAAGAGAGAGAGAATTATTTTTTAATATTTATTTTTCAGTTTTCGGTGGACACAACATCTTTATTTTATGTGGTGCTGAGGATTGAACCCAGTGCCCCGCACATGCTAGGCAAGCGCATTACTGCTTGAGCCATATCCCCAGCCCCCCTATTTTTTATTTTAAGATGGTCTCACTAACTTACTGAGGCTGGACTCAAACTTGAGATCCTCCTGCCTCAGCCTCCTGAGCTGCTGGGATTAGAGGTATGCACCACCATACCCAGCTAGCCAATGGTAGCTTTATATTGTTAACTGTTGGAATGACACGCTTTTCCTTTCCTCTAAATTTAACATGTGCATACCCTTTCTGAAAGCATATTGTTTCTATCTAGTACATCACACTGTGTCTCAACAGGAACACCGAAGCCACTGACAGGCAGTGTAACTGATGCGGTACTCATGGCTATTTCTCATGTCACATGGGCTGGCTTATTCATTCCTTTTCTTTTTCATTAACCAAATATTTTTATCATACCATTTTATATTTAGTAGCTATTTACATGTCTTTAAACTGTGGTATTAAAATGTAAAATTTGCCATTTAACCACTATTATGTGTATAAGAACAGTCATTGTTGTGAAACCTGTCATCTTTTATTATCCTTAAAAATCCCATGGCAGCCAGGTGCAGCGGCAGACATCTATAATCCCAGCAGCTTGGGAGGCTGAGGCAGGAGAATCTCAAATTCAAAGCCAGCCTCAGCAACCGTGAGGCACTAAGCGACTCAATGAGACCCTGTCTCTAAATTAAGTACAAAATAGGCTGGAGATGTGGTCAAGTGCCCGAGTTCAAGCTTCCATACCACACACACACAAACACACACAAAAATCCATCCCCCACATGTCCAAGGATGTTTTAATCTATTTCCCATCCTATGCAGACAACCTCTACAACATCCCTGTGCTGTTTTGTGCAGATTTTTCAAGTGACAACTGAGGGAGGACAAATCACACTAGGTGCATCCTGGGAAATTTCAGGCATCTAGTAAACCCAACCTAAAGTAAACTAGGAGTTGTTTCTGGTCCACTGTATCACAAGGAATGACCACTATTCCACATACGAATGTGCCCCCAGGCCAGTAGTGTGGCCAGCTCAGCTAGGTATCACTAGAGAGCAGAAGCATGATGGTCAAACAGGAGAATCAACATCTGTCTCAACAGGAAGAACTGGATCTTGTTATTCTCTGCTTCTAAACATATAATTCAATCTCTCTGGCCCCTAATTTCCTTACGTGTAAAAACAAAGATAACTCATATTGAACATAAACTGGACTGTTGTAAAGATCAAGTGGGATAAGATATCTGACAACCTTACTTAACTATGAAGCACTATAAAAATATTTCATATTCATTATTTGCTCCAAAATTTATGAGTTTGCACTAAGAGTAATTTTTCACAGCAGACTAAATCTATATAACACTGTAAATTAAGAAATTAAGAATCAGCTTATGTAAAGAATACCTCTACAAGATCCTTTCTTGGTCTCAGCTTTAGAAGGGGTTCACTGAGACGGATGGAGCACATTCCACCCCTCCCTTCATAGCTGCAAATCCCAGCACATCTGGAAAGCAATCACCACAACACAGTTACCAAACACACAAAAGAAAGGGGAAGAGCTGGAAGGGCAAACCTTACTGCCATGGGCAGTTCACACTAAGAGAACCCTACTGCAGAGAGCTTTCTTGATTATGCACCCTCCTAGGAGCTAAATCTTGATGGTCAGTCAAGAGTTAGCTGGGGCTGGGGGTCAGGGCAGTAGTGGCTGCCCTCACCTTAACCCACAGCAATGCTCAAATTGTGGGGAAGGCGGTGGTGTAGAGTGGGTTGGGGCTGGGTGGGCAGGGGTAAGGAAGTCGGAAGGACTCTGGGACCCACGTGAGGGGCGGCGCTGGGGTCGGGGCATCCATCCTGAAGGCCCTTAGGACCTGCGAGGCGGGGGCCCGCTGGGGTCGGGGCGTCCACCCCGAAGGGGAGAGCCAGGGGCGCGGGGAGGGGCTGGGGTTGGGGCGTCCATCCCGAATGCCCCTGGGACCCGCGTGTGTTGGGGGGCGCAGAAGTCGGGCATCCATCCCGAAGGCCCCTGGAACCCGCGTGTGGGGGAGGGCTGGGGTCGGGACGTCCATCCTGAAGGTCCCTGGGACCCGCATGTGGGCGGGGCTGGGGTCGGGGCGTCCATCCCTAAGATCCCTGGAACTCGCGTATGTGGGGGAGGGCGCTGGGATCTGGGCGTCCTCCCCGAAGGCCCCTGACTCCGCCGTCGCGGGGGTCAGGGTAGCAGGCCCCTGGCTTCCCCCGCGCGGCGGTGCGTCAACGACAGCCCCCCGAGGGCCGTTCGCGACGACGCGGGCACTCACAGTGTCATGCGCACGCTCCACTTGACCTCCACGGCCTCCAGCCGGCCCCAGAAGAAGCGGTCGTTGAACTGCACGAATAGGGCCTGCAGGTCCGGGGTGGGGTCCACCAGCTCCCAGGACGCGTCCACCAGCGACAGCGGCTCCCGGGCCGCTTCGCGCTGCGCGGCCCGCGCGTCCCACTCCTCCTGCAGCCGCAGCGCCACCACCAGGTCCTCGTCCATCACACTGCTCGCCGCCAGGACGCCGCCCGCTCTACGAAGCCGGCTGGGACGCGCGCGCGCCGGTCTCGCGAGAACTCAAAGGAAGACTGCGGCGCGAGCGCAGGCCCGCAGGGCCGCCGGGCCAAGACCCGGGACTTGGCGACCAAAGGCCGCGCGCCGCCGCACGCACGCACGGGATCCCCGGGCTAAGCCGCAGGAAAACTTTGGGAGCGCGGTATCGCTCTTACACCGCACTGGGACCACACACCACCCGCCACGCCCAGCCTCCCCCAAACTGCTCCCGGCCGCGTCTGCTTCCGCTACGGCTCGTCCGCGCAGGCGCGCTGTCTGCGCTCGGTCAACACAGGCGCAGTGTGCATCGATCGGCTCCCGCGCAGGCGCAATGCGGGGCGCAGGGCTCGGCGCAGGCGCCTTCGGCTCGCGCCCGCCCGCTCTCTCGGCTGCAAGGCTTGGCCGCGGTCGGGTGGGGCCCGGTGGCGGCGGCGGCCAGTGG